CTCGCCAATGCTTACCAATGAGTGGCCACAGAGATCAACTCCATGAATTCGAAAAACGCTTTTTTATATGGACAAATCAATTGAAATTGATATCATTTTTTATCAGCATACCTCCACTAACAACCGCCCATCCTTCCTATGAAGTTCGAGAAGTACAGCACTTGAATAACGGGGGAAATGTTCCGGGAAAATTCCCATAGCAGCCAACATCGCTGCTAGCGTGGTGTCGTGCTGAACAAAAGCTGTTTGATACTAACGATTCGAATTATGCAAAAAAAACCGCATGAACGCACAATCGAATATAGTCGTTGTTGAAAAAATCTCTCTACAGTCTTGTTCGCTGCGGATGCAATCGGGGGGTGCGGGGGGGGGATGGGATTGACGTATTGCAAGCCCGTTTTCTACCAAATGCTGAAGCGATGAAGCAACAACAAGTGGTAAAAAACGGATTGGGGCCGTGCCGAGCTCGAGCCCCAGTCACGAACCAGCATCCACAGCGAACAGGATTACATCTACTGCTTTCGCACAACCAGGTTCATAGAGACCAAGCGCTTTCTGCGGTCACTATGTGTACGGCCGAAATCACGTACCGCTGAATAAGCATAGAGCTTTGGCTTATCTCCCAGACTTCCATTTGCTTTCGCTTCGAATCGTCCTATGATGTCATTCAGCAGCGGACCTGTAAAGATGGAGATAGGCTCACAGATCAGCGGAAACAACAAAGATGGGGAGACTGCCTGGTGGTCAGCAGATTACGAGTAATGGAGAGGTACTGCTAGACCTTTAGTATGGTTTGTGGAACATGGAAAGAGGATCTAGACGTTCATCATGTTTCCCATTACCTCCTCGTAATCGACGTAATAAGTCGGTGTGGTACTTCAGCCGAGAAGAAGCATCATAAAGTTTCTGGATTCTATCAAACACAGACGCATTTACCCATGAGGGCCACTTCTGAGTATCGTTGTGCTGGAGCTGAAAAAACGACTTTAAAATCCTTATAATCAGCTCTTCAGTGACAGAAATTATGATTCCATATCGCCACGCCAGCCTAACTTCCTTCCCACAAGGTCAGCTGTCTCAGAAACACAACCATAGGTATGGTCCCATGACTAAATCGAAGATCGACTCCAGCCCGGCAAGCCAGACCTTCAATCCCCCCCGTGATCGATTAACTGATAAAAGACTCTCGTGGATTCGAAAGCACTGACTTATGGTTGAGTGGCCAAAGCAATTCACTGCGCTGAAATCGCGCTTGACCTCTCAGGCAGAAAATGAATTCGTGTTGCTTCTTGAAGTGAGTGGCTCGGGTGGACTCGTCTTTGTACTCCCTTTAGCATATCGGCTAGAATTCTTCTGAGCGGAGCTAGTGATCAATAAGATGAGGCGGTGTTCAGACTTCGCGACGGCAGCGCTTCGGTCGCGCGTTCGACGCGATCGATGCGCATGCTTTCGACTGCATTGATCGCGTCGAACGCGCGACCGAAACGCTGCCGTCGCGAAGTCTGAACGCTGCCTGAGATCAATTATTGTACAAGACAACTCTTCATCTTTTGAACAGAGAGACTGAGAAATGACATACATATGAAAAGTGGTATTGATACCCAGGATAAAAACTCCCCCTTGCCCTCCCTCGCGAGTGCACGCGACCAAACTCTCTGTCTGTAGATGTTGAGTTCATAACCCCACCTCCCCTCTCTCCTCCCCAGAACAATACACAGCAAGAATGATAGTTTTTTGGCCCACAGTCCGCCCGAATAGAAAGTTTCAAGTAGTATTCACTTGAATATGTATCCACTTACCATGCAGAAAAGGTTATCGAATACCATCCAAAGCTTGCGAAATTCGAAATTTGGTATTTTGGTCTTCTCTCGGAGATATTCGACGAGATCCTTGTTTTCACTCTCCAACCGAGTCACCACTTCGGACTTCCACAACGTCGAAAACTCTTTCTTTGCCGTGGGGCAGTTTATGTCTTCATACAGCTCCTAAATTATTTTCAGAAAAAAGTAAGAAGGAATGACAATCTTGAATGACTAGCAGTAAGTAGAGAACCCTAAAAGTCAAAACAAATCAAAAACCATACCTTGTCGATAGCTCTTGGCACAGAGTGTACAGGTACTGGCTGCCAAATCAACTTTTCGTCCCAAATCTCAGATTTGGAAGGTGGGAATAGTCCTAAAGGAAGATTACTTCAGTATCTACAACCCAGAGCTGAGTTCCTTTTTCGAATGACTCCATCTTGCTAAGAGATTGGCCAGCAACAAAAATCAATATTTCCCTACCGGCCATATTTGCCATTGCTGACATAATGGTCCGGTTGTAGTCGCTGCTGCGCACGAAAACCTGGAACGAAACATTTCCAAAAGCCTCTTAGGCAATTGCTGTCTTTATTCTACGATTCGAAACAGGTCTTGAGTTATCATGGGAAACTTCTGAAGAGCAAACTCTTGTGAGTTGCACTTTCTACTCAAATATCAATGCCTACACCTATTCATTTTACCGAATTGCTCATTTTACGCAAGTCGATACGGAGACATTAGACCACCCTCTAGAGTGAAAATAAGCTTCAACAGGACAGCATGCTCCTCCACCAGAAAAATCTTGAAAAACAAAGACCCACAATCGTACTATGTAGCCAATCAACAACAGTAGTTTCAAAAAATATCATCAAAAAAGAACTGACCTCGCTGCGATCGAAACGGCTACCGAACCACTTGCCGTAGCGAGCTCTTAGCCACTTTCCAAGTCGGTACTGCTCCGCTAAATTGTTCAGCAGTGAGAAGCCTTCACAACAACAAATAAATCAAAATAAATATAGGATAAAGACACACGTTATGCAGTAATATAGGATAGGACAAACGATGCCAAGGGAATCGCTGGGTGAACGGATTTCATTCAACTCAATTCAAGAGCAAAGAAAAGAACGCAAAAATCGAAGGATCTATTGTGACGGTTCAACGAGTTTAGGGACAAGATAGAAGAAGACCAAGAAGAACCACACTCAGGCTTCATGTCGCGGATGCAGCCCGGTCGGTGCGGGCCAGAGCGGCAAGCACGATTGGTGGTTTCTAGGAAGGGCTATCTCTCTCTATAAATCAGGAGTTGTTTGTGTGTGTATATCTGCGTGATAACATGAAAATTGGGGGGAATACGTGAAAAGTCACTTTTAGGCAACTGAGCAGAGAACGGATTATGCTTGGGATGGATGTGCCATAGGCCAACATTGCACAGCACATACAATGCAACTTATGCTCTGCCCACAATGGGCGGGGCGTTCGCCGAAGTGGGCGGTGCGCAGAATACAAAATTATCAAAAAGCAGCCAGAGTAGCCTAAGAAATAAGAAATGAATAGAATAAAATAAAAAATAAATGAATAAAATAAAATAAAATTTATAGGGAATATGAGTGAAAGTGAGCAATATTAGCAGATGAAGTGAGGAGTGAAACCTGCAGATAGTAACTTATGTACCAAAGTGTTGTTGATGACTTCGATGAATTACTCTCCTCTTCCGGAACACATAAGAGAATCATAATCGCAGTTAACAAGATAGCCTCAGCCAAATTTGGTCGACTGTCTTCTGCGGCGAGGGGTACCTTCCATAGCGACAGAAAATTCGAAAAACTGCAGCGTAGGGCCGTCGAGAAGCAGCGTCCGTTGATAGGTACATGTGTGTGATCGCGATCGATCACGTCAAAGGGCCACACCCTATGGCATGTTTTTGCACGAAGCACGACTAGTGCTAACTCCTCATGAAAAAAATAAATTTGACAGATCTGTCAGGCACCTGTTCCACTGAATCATCCTGTACTGACAGAGCACAAGTCAATAGTTTTAACGAATGAAAAAACCGTGAACAAAAGCAAAGTCTAACCCATTCCCTTTCGCGTCAGCTCTCCTAAACCTTCCTCCCAAGCACTCGCGTCATTGAATGGCACAGATGTTGCTGGAGTACGATCTCCGTGTCGCCATGCCTAAAAAGCTTTTCCATCTGCATCAGCGTAACATAATCAGCATGCTAAAAAGTCATTCAATAGATAATTGTCTTCAGAAAACAGAACATTTTTTCAGAAACACCGATAATCGGTATGAAAGAACATCTCAAATACATGTTTGACCGGAAATTCATAACTTACTTCAAAACCTCAAATATATATCATCCGCTAAGTTTGTCTGTCTGTATGTGTGTTTGACCGGAAATTCATAACTTCCTTCAAAACAGCGATGGAGCGCTCAAATTGATAAGATGTAGGAGGTCGGGCAGGAACACTATTGGTAGGTGGCAGGAAGTGATAAGAGCTGATAAGATACCGCAGGGGTCTTAGAAGGGGAGGGTCACCAAATTCATAGCGTCGGCCAGAGTAACGACCGGACGTTGGATCCAAGTAGCAACATAGGGGGCAGGATGGGAACATTATTGGTGGGTGGCAGGAAGTGATAACGGCTGATAAGATACCATGAGGAGCCTTACAAGGGGAGAGTCACCAAAGTCATAGCGCCGGCCACGGCGACGACGGGACGTTGGTTTCAAGAAGATAGGGCAACAATATTCATGGGCTGGCAGGAAGTGATAACAGCTGATAAGATAATATAATGGGCCTCAGAAAGGAAGGGTCACCAACCTGATAACATGCTTCACAGCGACGCTAGGACGTTGGTTCCAAGAAGCAAGATAGTGGGCAAGATGGGAACATTATTGGGGGTGGCAGGACGAGATAACGGCTGATAAGATAGCCCCAAAAATTCACAGCATAGTTGTGGATTACTGGACTATTGCTTCCAGCAAGTAATTTAGAGGTGCTTAGGTAAAATTAGTAGTGGGAGATAAGTTCTGATAGTGTCTGACAAGGGCTTTTAGGAGTCGTATTCTCAAATCACCGCGGCCAACGAATCAGTGGGCAAAGGTTCAGTGAGCCAACATGTTCCTATGTTTCTATCCCTTGGCGATATAGTCGGATTTGATTCGACCGCTAAACTGTAGTGTCAACAAAAAGTAAAAGCCCCGAAAGCTGCTCAAATGATGTACTAGGATGTGAGGACATTTCACCATGATATCGATGTTATTACCCTCGAGACTCTTCCAACCGCTAGGCTATTTCCAACGAATGGCGAGTGTTGTCAAAAATGTGATAAGCGCCAGTCATTGGTAAATGTTCATTGAAAGGGAAAAATACGATGAAATGGGCCGTATTTCGAAAAATGGGAATTAGGACAAGTGTTGTGTTGTGGTGTTGTGCTAGGTCGATAACTGCACTTTCTTAGTCGCTGCCGCGGGCACGCTTGAAACGCTGCCGTACGCTGACGCAAGGCATGAACGCAGCCTAACCCTCAGATATAATCACTGAATAGAATAATACTCGGGTATAGGCAAGATTTCTCAAGGTGAGAACTCTCCCGAGTATGCCCACTTTCAGTGATTATATCTGAGGGTTAGGCTGCGTTCATGCCTTGCGTCAGCGTACGGCAGCGTTTCAAGCGTGCCCGCGGCAGCGACTAAGAAAGTGCAGTTATCGACCTAGCACAACACCACAACACAACACTTGTCCTAATTCCCATT